ATTTATTGAACTAAAAGTTAGCTCATTATTAGCTAGGTTTTAGTTCATTTATTATCTTATTTATGTAGTTTTTTATTTATAGTTTATCTCTTAAAATTCTGAGCTTGTCCCTTGGGATTCCAAAATGGCTTTTGGATTTCCTATGTTGGCTATTTTCCGTGCTTGGCTCCTTGGCTTCCTCGGTTGGTTGCTGGGTGGACTTTCCCGTGCTTTGGTGCCTTGCAAGGTGTCTTGTTTGAGTCGCTTGAGTCAAAAGTTTGTAAGTGTCTTTTATATGAAATGTAAGAGTTTGTTCTTCTTATTATTTAGCTAAGTGTGTCTGTTCTTTTTATTACTTAGTATCTCTTCTGTTTTGTGAGCGAAAAATTTATGGGGTCCCCCTTCCTGGAGGTTTTTGATAGCATCACATATCCTGCCCTCCGCCGCCCAATCCTGCTGGTAGCCAGCCCGCTGCCTCATCCTGTCGTTCACGTGGGAATAAAAAAAATCTGAAAAACTCTCTACATATCCCCTCCATTCCCTCTCACCCGTCCCCTCCTGTCAGTTTCACACTCTCCCAATCCACAAGCTGAGCCCCTCTCCATCCATGTTTCACGCAAAGCTTCAACCCTCATCCATCTTCTCTGCTCAATTCCCTCCTATTACAGCAAACCCAGCTCCCTAACCTCTCCACTCTCTCAACTACAGCAGCCAAAGCAGAGCCCCTCTACCACAATTAAATCCCAACCCAAGCCACTACCTTCACGCCTCCTCCTCACTGTGCCAATCCGACCAGCAAATCGGCCTCCCTTTCCGTTAAGCCCAGCCCACACTCACCTACACAACTCTACAGCCAGTCTACAATCCTTCAGCCCTTCCTCTTCCCAACTTCCTTTTCCTCCCTATTCAAAAGCCCCAAAACAACTAACCTTCAACAACATCTAGCAAATCCACCCAGCCCCTTTTCATTCCTCCCTCACCGCCCATTTACATTTCTCCTCACAATTCCAAACCTATACACCTCTTTCTCCCTTCCAGCAAGCCCAACAATAAAAAATTCCAGCCCAAGCTCAGTACCCACAGCCCATTTCCTCCCTTCACATTCCAACTACCCTCTCCTCTCCTTTCCAGCAAGCTACAACAACCTTACCAAATCACAACTTTACAAGCCCAACAATAGCTCTACACTTCACCTAACACTCCAGAAACTCACATCACAGAAGCTATCCTTTTTTTTTTTACCAAAGAGTGCCCGTTTGGTTCACCAGGCCCAACGGCTACTTGGTTTGCCCAGACCACCAGCCCGTTATCCATCCACCGATGAGAGCTAAAGGTAATCGCTGCTCTGTTAAACCAGCCTCACGCGTTCCCCTCTAATTTAGAGCACAACTAATTTAGGCCTTCGCCTAAACCAGTTGCAATTAACTACCCATCTTGGATCAGGCAGGTCAATATTCGGCCCAATACAACCCAGCAAATGGAACAAATGAATCATTAAAAGCACCTGAATACCCCCATGGGTTACAAGCTCGAGTTGCTGAGCTCAGCTCAGCAGCTATCCCTAGCTTAGCCATCAAACCCAACTCAACAAACATTCTCACCTAACCCAAATCATCCCTCTTTCTCCTTCTATTATTATTATTATTATTATCATTATTATTATTATTATTATTAATAAGAGAAATCAGAAAAGCAAAAAAAAATTATTTGCCTATAAGAGCTAGATACTTGTAATGAATCTAAAACCTCGCATACAAGCAGGAAAAGAGGATTTGTAATACAAATGTCATAACCTGTCAAAGGGCAAGGGCAGTAGATTTTTGATGAAAATGTAAGTATGCCAACATGCAACAACAAAGGACTTCTAATGCATATAGCAACCCAACTAAAGGCAACAACAAGCAACTTCAAATGATTACTACTTGCCTACAAGCAATATAAATGAACTTGCAAATAACACATACTACCTATGGGTAACAATAGAAGACTTGTAATGTTCAAACCAGTCCACCTACGAGCATGACTGGGGAGCTTGCAATACACAACAATCGGTCTATGGGTGATAACAGTGAACATGCAATGAATGTGATAGTTATCCTAGGGGCATATATTGGGAAATTACAATGAATACAGTAGCCAACTTATAGGCAAAGTTGAAAGATTTAATGTGACGGCTTGCCTACAGGCAGTATTAATAAACTCACAAAGATCACTTATATGACTACTTCCTACATAAAAGAAGAGGGAATATTATAATGAATGCAATAGGCCGCCTACATCAATAGCAGAAAACTTGTTACACACACATTACAATTCACCTATGAGCAGCACCGGGGAATTTGTAGTGCATACAACTAGCTTATAGGCAAAGGAGAAGGGGCTCATACTGAATAAATCTGTTTGCCTACAAGAGACAATAGGGGATTCGTAGCGAATAATGCGGCTCACTTATAAGCAAAAGCATGATCTCCTACTGCTTATTAAGCAAACATCACCTACGAACTCTACTAAATGACGACTCGAATGAGACAAAATAAGCTAAAAAATCTCTCCTACAACCTATAATTGAAACATAATTTGATTTTACGCCACCGGATCCGCAATATTCGTACAAACAGATAGGTGTTTCATGAATTTTAAAAGAAATTTTGTGTGCTTGCCAACAATAATCACTTGTGAAAAAGAATATATTTAGATTTTTTAATCCCCTCATGCATAAAAATACATTTCCTTAAATCTAAACATGACATATCGAGAAGCGTGTTGACACCTCTAAGAGTGTGCAGCAACCTTATGAAGCAAGCAATAGCCCCGAGAAATATGTTGCCACCTCGAGAAGCGAGGCACTACCTCGGGAAGCATGTACATGAATTTAATACCCGCATGTGCTATGATCGCTACATTGAACTTTTAATCTTAACGTCTGAGAATGCTAATACCTTATTTAAGAAAAGAGATGAACATCTCATGACTTATAAGAATGGAAATAGTAAAACTCAGATTGATTATTCTCTTATAAGAAAAATAGATCGTTTAGATTGTCAAGATTGTAAAGCTATTTCAAGTGAAATTTAATGTACTCAACATCGCTTATTAGTTTTGTATTTTAAGATGAAGGGGCAGAAAATAAAAAAATAAAGTAAATCGTTATTCTAGGATTATATGTGGGCATTTAAAGAATATTCATAAAAATATTTTTTGAGAGTAAGATTCTAGATCTAAAGATTTTATCTATGCATAAGGATGTTAATATTATGTGGAAAAAAGTAGCTAATGATATTAAGAATCTTGCAAAAAATGTGCTTAGAGTATCAAAGGAAAAAATCACTAATAGTAAAAATAGTTAGTGGTGGAATCAAAATGTGCAAGAAAATATAAAAAATAAAAAGATTTGTTATAAAAGTTGATTTAGATGTAAAAACTATGATAATTGGGAAAAATATAAAGAGGCTCGAAATGAGTCTAAGAAAATAATTTGTAATGCAAACTTTTTAGCTTTTAATAATTTATATAATATATTAGTTACTAATGAGGATGAAAGACCCGTTTGAACCCGGGTCAGTTCCGGGTCCGACCCGAACCCGACCCGTGACCCGAAATTGACACCCCTAGCATATTATTAAAACCGAAGTTAAAGAGGTTATAAGGAAAAGAAGCGTGGAAAAACTGTTGGGCTTGATGATATTCCAATAGAGCTATAGAAATGCTTAGGAGATATAGGAACTTCTTGGCTTACTAAACTTTTAAATATTATTTGAAGGTAAAAAAAATGTCAGATGAGTGAATAATGAGCGTGTTGATTCTTATTTTTAAGAATAAAGATCATGCACAAGATTGTGTGAATTATAGAGGAATTAAGTTAATGTGTCATAATTTAAAATAATGGGAGAGAGTTATAGAGCATAGGTTGTTGTGTGACACTAATGTTTCACAAAATCAATTTGGATGCATGCCAAGTAGGTCTACTATGGAAACTATATATTTATTAAGAGGTTTGATGGAGAAATATAGAAAGAATGAGATCTACATATGATATTTATTGATTTATAGAAAACATATGATAAAATTCCAAGAAAAGTGTTATGAAAAGTTCTACATAAGAAAGGGGTTACAAATGCTTATATTTAAGTCATTAAAGATATGTATGTAAGAGTTGTTACTTGTGTTCAAGCACAAGATGGTTTGACCAAGTATTTTCCTATTTCTGTTGGATTACATCAAGGATCGGCCTTAAGCCCATATCTTTTTGCTTTAGTCATGGATATTTTCAGTAGACATTTGCAAGAGGTTGTGAACAGGTGTATGCTTTTCACTAATGATATTCTTCTTGTTAATAAAACTAGAGAGGGAGTTGAAGGTAAACTTGAATTATGGAGGTCAACCTTAGACTGTAAAGGTCTTTGTTTGAGTAGATCTAAAACTAAATATATGCAGTGTAATTTTAATAGATATAGTGGGGGGATTGTGACTTTGGGTGATCAAGCCATTAATAAGAGCGCTCGTTTTTGATATTTGGGTCTATTGTTCAGAGAGATGGGGACAGTATTAGTAGAATTCACGTTGGATGGTTGAAGTGGAGGAATGCATCCAGCTTGTTTTGTGATAGAAAAGTCCCTCTCAAACTTTTATAAGATGGTAGTGAGACATGCAATGCTTTATGGTGCATAATGTTAATCATTAAAAGAGAAGTAGCATATTAAGTTAAGTGTTACAGAGATGAGGATCCTGTTAGACCGGTTCATGGTGAACCGGTCCAGCCCCTGCCGGCCAAACAGGGGCCACGGGTTTATAAGAGGCGGAGGCCTCCGCCTCCTCTTCCTGGACCAATTAATGGGGCGGGCCCCATTATGTAATTTGAATGCTTTGATTCAAAAGGAGCGGGCGGCTAGGTTTTGGGAGGGAAATTAAATTAGGAAATATTTTGTATTAAAGGGGATGAGGGAATTAAGGGAGGATTATGTTTTGATTGATTGGGAATTAGGGTTTCTTGGTGCTGGGGCTCTAGACTCTCTTGTCTAGAGATTTGGGAGAGACGATCCTCCTCTCAAATTGGGGATCACTTGTATCTTGCTTTCTTGTGTGTTTTGCTTTATTTAGTTGATTGAAATATTTCATTTTAGGGCTGATTTCGCCCAGATTTTGCGTTGTTCTCGCTGTTTTCTTCCAATTAGTGATAGGTTTGCTTGTGAACTCAAGTATTACCTTAGGGTTACTTTCAAACTCAATTATTTCCTATCAGATCCTCAAGTGGATGAGTGGCTTTACTCTTAAAGACAAGATATGAAATGAGCATTTACATGAAAAGGTTGGAGTAGCTCCAATGAAAGATAAGATTAGAGATAGTCGCCTTAGATGGTTTGGTCGCATAAAATAGTGGCCTTCCGATGACTCGGTTAGGAAAGTAGATGTATTAGAATTGACTTCCGTTAAAAAATATAGAGGTAGACCTAAAAGACTTGGTTAGAAAATATTAGAAATGATCATTCTTTTTTAGATTTAAATGAAAATTTGATCCTTAACATGACACAATGGAAAAAAAGGATTCATATAGCCGATCCCACAATGGGATGAAGGCTTGTTGTTATTGTTGTTGTTGTTGTTGTTATTGGATTCTCCGCCTCTATTATATCTCATGCTTAACTAGAATGGTTCAAAAAAGAGCGTGATATAAAGAATCCAGAACCTCTTTCCTGTGAGTACGAAAACATGAGGACGGCAAGAAGTTTGGTATCTCTAGAAAATGATATGTATGCATCTTTCCTAATTTAAGCTCTTCAAACTCAGGCCCTCTCCATGTCTTGCTATATCAAAAGATCTCGTAAACAAGTCTTTAAACTATGTAATATCCAGTATTAGTAAACAGCAAAAAAAATTCCAACTTTTGCATACAAAGTTACAAACATTTATAAAACTGCATGAAGAAGAAAAAGATAATAACTAGAACTAATGGTGTGATGGAATCAGCCAAGTACAGTAACCACACCTCAACAGAAAACCACCAACGTTCAGAGGCACCATGAAAACGATCCTTCCAAACAAAGTTTGGAGTTATAAGCACATCTACCTGCAATTGAGATATCACAAAAAAGTCAGTGGATAGTTATAAAGCACTGAAATTAAACTTAGAAATGGTTAGACGACCTATTTATTAGACTAGAAGCAAACCTTGAGAACAGTTCTCGTAATTGGACTAACATTTGCAGATAATATGATATTTGGGAAATAACTGAGATATTGCTTGACCACCTACAATTAAAGAAATGAGTGAAAATGCAAAGGAAATATTATTAAAATCACAGGAAACAGCAAATTACCTTCCCTCCAGGAACATAACGAATTAGGACACCAATGTCTTTTTCTTCCATCTCAAGCAGATGGTCTAAATCAGCTCCCTTTTCTTCAAGTTTTTTTAGTACCTTAATAATAAAAACCATAAACTAAAAATAATAAAATTGAAAACTTCATAAAATGCTAGAAGGTTAAGAGATGAAGACAAACTTCTGATGGAACATCCTTATCAAATTGTCTCAATGGATGCTGTTGAGGCCAAATTTGACGATCCACGGCCTTGCAATAGTCCAAAATTAAAAAGGACATCTCACACCAGCCTCGGCGTAAGCATATTTCAAATAAAGCTCGCATAATGCGACCTAAACTGGCACTGATATATGCTGCATCAGATATCAAAGAAAAACTATCCATTGAGCCCCGTGATATATGCACCTGCAAGTGTTGAAACAGCGTTAAAGCTCCAACTGTCAGCTTCTAATACGAAATCACTGAGAGTGGATCCACAGATAAGATTAATAACCTGAATAAGAATTGAAATTTTCCCATGTTTATCACTTGGTCCACCTTTAACTGCTAAAGGACAAAATACTTTAGACAATTTCTCAAGTTCCTCCTGTTCCTCTTCTCTAACGACGATATTTTCAAATTCAGAAGAATGAGCAACCATATTGATAAGCTGCAGCAGAAAAATCACCAGAAAATATAATAAGTAGCAGTGGATAACCAATGAGGGATTAAGATTGAACAATACAGAATGGTGCTCATACTTCACTCTCGCTCATGTGGCGTCTTAGCATTTCATTGTAAGTTTCAACACTTGAGTACTGAAGGTAAAAATGACTAGCTATACGACCTAGCTCTGTGCAGTAAAAATTACCGCTTTTCTCATCAAATCGCATCATCTTTGCCTTGTCAAGAGAACGTGCAGCATCTATTATTAAGGACCTTTGTTTGGATGACAAGGAGGGATCAGCAATGACCTAAAAGCCACAAAATGGCGTTAGTTTGAGAAAGAACTAAGAAACAACATGAAACTACGAACTGAAAGATAAGACACTTCTACATGACACTCCAATGTTGCATCAAGTACATCTAATTCAGTGGGTATAGAAAATATTATAATGTAGAGTTGAAGTTAACAAAAACAAACTATAATCCTCTAGTTAGCCCATAATGCAAAACTTTAAGTAACGAAGTCCATCGTTTGTAACAAAATATAGAATCACTACAGTTATCCCGAATTTTTGCAGCATACATACTAAAGTGTGCGAATTCAACAAGCATATCTTTTATTGCTTCTTAGTGCACACGTGATCATTCCGCCAAAATTAAAAGATAACGGGCAAAAAACAAAACTAGCACAAAAAATAGAAAAAAATGACACTGACTATATTGATCAACCAAGGAAAGGTAAATAGCAAACATAAGATTAAATTGAAGTTATCGCTGATCTAAATCTTTATCATTAATCTAGATGTCTTAGACAAGTTAAAACATTCTTTTACACAAAATGGAAGTTTGGCTGACAGCATTTAAAATAAGCATCAAGAACATCTAAAATTTGTTTTTTCTACAAATTGCAGAGCATCTCAGCATAATTCTTAAGACTAACAAAGTACAACTTATCGGATCAAGGAAACCAAAGTGTCAAGGTATAACTTCAAAAGGATATAATTAAATATTTAAATATAAGCTTAAAATAAAAACAGGCTCTAGACATACCATGTGTCACCAATACTGATCAGAGAATTTCTATATGGAGTACATAAAATGGCCTCAAATAATTATGAATAGTACAGTGATGTACCTCATCCCATGCAACTCCATATGCCAATGGATTTGTTTTCATCCTTATGAATAAATATGTATATCCAAGCCATGCAGAAGCTTCTTTGACATTGGTTACTGTTCCCAGGGCAACTTCTGCATTCAGGTTGTCCTTCAAGGAGCTAATAAACTGTGAAATAACAGAACAAGATCAAGAAACCAAACAGAAAAATTGATGAAAAAAAAAGTCTCAAAGGAATATCAATCATAATAAAGCTCAGACCATAAAGGTCTTATCAACGTTAAAAAAAACAGAACAATCAACTGAAAACAAAATGGCTAAGTTAAAGGTGTTTAAGCTATGGGAGTCTGAAACTTCTTAGTTCATCGCAATTTGCAATTGAACTTGAATTTTTTGAATAATTTAGCATCAGAAGACATCCACACAACCAAAAAGAGCCTTTGTACCCTCAAATAAAATGGAAAACATTTTTAATTTCTTAAAGTAACTCCATCATCGCATGTACGTTTCACATCACTTTGTACCCTCAAATAAAATGGAAAACATTTATGATATACAATATGGTCGTATCATAATTACTGAATAATCATTGCAAAAAATTTCCGGAATAACTAAGATAAAATTCAATGGTTTATCTTGTGAATTTAAAACTATTGCAAATCAAGTAATTTGATTTGACAAATTACAACAAGACTGCCAAAGGAGAGCTTTTCTTAATCCAAAGAACGACTGTTTTTATAAAAACAATTAGTTGAAGTGTCTTTCTCATGCTATATGACAATTTAAGAAGAAAACATTTGCTCAAAAAAAAATAATGATAATAATAATTTAATGAATTTCTTAATATAAAGAGTAGGGCCAGATGGCTATAAGACTTGAAAATTCTGTATATATATCTAAAACTATATAATAAATTGCTTACGCGTGCATCCTTGGAACTTACACAAAGGATAGCATACATCTGTAAAGATAATAAAAGTTCCGCATTGTAAGGGAAGTACACTGAATGCAAAAACAAAAAGGCCAGTGAAGAATATATTTGGAGTTCAGAAGTATCACAATAACCAGTCGTAGACAAAAGAACATCTAAAGAAATGCTAGCTAGCATAAACTAATACCGAGCAGCAAAACTACTATCAATATGAATGCCTTAGAGCACAAACAGGAGGCCTCAGACGACAAAATATGTATGAAAAAACAGTAGAAATCAAAGACATCAGGAAAGAAAATGTGTTTACCTGGCTTTCTATAGGCAGCTGGCTGGTCAATAGTCTTAGGTAATAGGCTAGTTTGTCATGAGATGTAATTATTATGCCTTCCCCGCTTTTATCAAACTGTGGACGACCAGCACGTCCAAATATCTAAGAGAAAGAAGTAGAACAGATTACTTATGCTTATTTTATAAAATAAAATCTCATATAATAAATTGCAGTCTAGATCTTACCTGCATAACATCAAGCATTCCAAGGTCTCGCCAGCCACCAACCTTCGGATCATATAATTGAGTCCCCTGCATTGATTAATGAAAACGTAGGATGCTTAAAAGTCTAGATTTTCAAATACAATTAAGATGATAAAATGAATCTAAATCACACAACAATATGAAAGAAAATGTGATGTAATACAATGAAGATGAAACAAGAATTGCTTATACGAAATTAATAAAATGGGAACGTTGCTCGGCTAAACATAAACGGATGCGTATTCAAGTTAGATCTTAGGAAATTCCACGAAAGAACTAAGTAATGACAAGTTATTCCAATAGAGATTAATAGGAAACTCGCAAAATTACATCATCAAATAAATGAGTAGAGCAAATGGCACGTAACAAAATCCACAGTTTAAAATTTAGATCATTCACCTTGGGATCCTTCACTTACACTCTTGATAATGATCGGCTTAGCGGAAAAAGGTTGCAAGCAAGCTTAAGGATGCCACTAATAGACACGTGATGCCAAGGGGGCTAGTCGTCGGGGAAGGAGCCGAAGTTAGAGGAACGGGTGGTTGACTGGTGATCTTCCACTCTTCAATAAGTCTTTGCTCGTCGAAGACGTCCGCCAAGTGGGGGAGGATACAATCAACGTATTCCTTGACAGTCCTCTCAGATCCGAATCTGGGGTCAAAGAATGGTGACCGGATGACGTCAATCTCCTATTGAGAATTGAGAATAAGCCCGTGATAAACTTCCGGATCCGCCATTCATGATCATGAACGGACTTAGTGTGTAGTGGGGGAGTAAAGGTGGAGGAGCCGCCACCTAGAAGAGGTGGCCAAGAGGAGGAGGGGGGAGGCGGGTGGGATCTCGGGTAAGGGATCTCGGGTAGGAGGAGGTGGAGAGGGGAGGGGGGGGCGGCTAGGTCTAGGTTAGGGTTATGAGTAATTATGAGAAACCTAAAATTAATTTCATATTAAGTGAAATCGGAGGGAAAGAATTTGAATTTGAATTCAAACTCCAAATTGGGTTGGGGGATTAAGAGGGAAAACCAAAAGTGGAGCCCCCTCTAGGGCCGGCGGAATTAAGAGAGGGAGAGGAGGTTGGTGAGGGAGTTAAGGGTTTCCTAATTTATCTTAGCAAATTAGGGATTAGGAATTCAAATCCAATTTAATGTAAAATTAAATTGAATCTCATTTGAAACTTTCCTAATTTAGCTTTTGGCAAATTTGGAAACTTTTTGAAACTCAATTTGAATTTCAAATTTTGAAAATAATGGGGTGGGGGCCGGCGATTGAATTAGGGAAAGGGATGGTGGAGTAGGGGAGGCCGGTGGCTAGGCTGTTGGCCGGCGGGTTGGGCGGCCAAGAAGGCCAGCGGGATGGGGTGGGGCTCGGTTTTTGGGATGAAGAAAATGGGATTTGGTTAGGGAAGGCCGGCGGGTGATTTCGATTGGGGAGGAATGACCACCAACCTAGTTTCGGTACATTATAAAGTATGATAGTGGCAATAGTACCCTCATAAAAATAATTACAGCTATGTACAATCCTAACAATAGTTTGAGATCACAAAAAAAGAGATCCAACCTAAATGGAAAGTTGCTGATTTCCACCCCCATTCCTCCCCCCATCCTTCCTACATCATAACCATGCATCAAGATATTTCTACAGTTAAAAAAGAAAAGGCTTGTTATGGCCATGGTGGATTTCTTTGTCAATCGCAAATGAGATAATGCATGACCATTATCACAGTTCACTAAAATAAAAAACTGAGAATAAAATGTCTAAGTGGACTATCTACTAAACTGGAAAACAAATATGCAAGGGTAGAAAGGTGATTTGGAAGCATATGCAAATTTCAGGCATCATGTGCTTAAATAAAATTTTCCCAATTCCCAAAAGTCTATATAATGCTTATCATTATATGGTGTTGACATAGAAATAGATAAAAAACTAATAATGGAAATCAAACAGACAAACACATCAAACTTCTAAAAGAACTGCAGAAAACCTATTAAAGAGACATACAAGAACACCTTTTCCATACAAATGCAAAAGCTACCATACATGAACTTCAAGAATTATTAGACAAGGTAAATCACAAAGATGAATAAAAAATTAAAATGTTCAACTTCAACAATAAAATCAACCTTGATAACCACAGTGTGAGCTGGAAGATTTACTCCCCACGCCAAAGTTGCAGTACATACAAGAACCTATAGCAAAAAAAATAAAAAATAAACAAAGAATGATGTCTGCAGGATTAAGCATAAACAGTTCAGTGATAAAACAGAATATCCCATACTTTCAAATGTCCGGCTGAAAAAAGTCTCTCCGTCAAGCCTCTATCAGCACGTAGCATACCAGCATGATGGATGCCAAATCCAAAGTCAAACAACTGAACAAGTTCACGATTTCTCGATTTTCCGACTTCTTTCTGAAAACATAAAAAGTTTTGTCAATAAAGCATGATTTGTTATATTTGAATAGCAAGAAAAGAAGATGAAGGCACTAGTTTCTTGTATACCTTGACCAAAGAAAATTGAGGATCATCTTCATTGCTAAAGAACTCCAACTGTCCAGCAAATTGGGCAGACTCAAGCTGTACAAATATTGTGTTTAAAAAATGACCAGCTGACAGAGATAGAACTACTGCCACAACTACTATAAGGAATATTGGAATATCCATCTCAATTATAGCATCCAAGATTAGTAAGATAGAGTTGGATTTAGTTTGTCCTAAAAGCCCAAAATTAGCACATCTTAAATAAGCAGTTGGCGTCAAACCTTGAACCCAATGGTATGACCCATTTACAAAGTCCAACATATTCAATATACAGCAAAAAGATATGGTCCATTTAAAAAGGATGGTTAAAAAGGATGGCTCGATTTCAAGTCAAGAGTCATGATCCATTAATAAAATGATAACACTCTAATATATTCAATATCAAGCAAAAGATCCAACCCATTTAATAAAGTGTGCAGTCATCAGAAATGCAAGGTGTCGGCTTAGACAAATAAATAAATGACAGAATTTGTTTTTGTTTGAGTGTTCAAAATTTTGATGTTTTCTTTTAAAAAAGGCAAGCTTATGATGTTTCCTGTTATAAGAATTGGTTGTATCTTTTAATTTCCCACTTGGAATCTCTATTCTAAATTTGAAGGTGGTCTGGAGTTTGCGGTTATTAGACCTTGGAAGCTTCCAACGGGATTGTTGAATAAGATGTGATCGACTACCTTGAGGGTTACAGCTACTTGACAGCTTGCAGCTAAACTCTTTCATCAAGCTTTTGGAGCCTTCAACAGCTAAATGGTTAAGACGATGGCTTCTTTTATGGCAAATTAGTTCTAGGTGGCTGCTGCTTTTTACATATGACAGAATCAAGGGACAGAATCAAGGGTATTGTCTTAAAGATAAGCGGTTCAACTTTTTTTAAAATGGGATTGGTGCAATATAAGTTGCAGTTTTCTATAACTTAATCCCAATTCATCAAACATTTTTCCAATTGGGATTTACACAATTCAAGGATTTGCGGGTTGAGACTCTTTTCATTTTATTTCTTTCGATTGCAAATGATAGATTTTGTGATTATGAGGGATTGAGCCATGTAAAAGGTAAGCAAGTGTTTTTAAACATAAAATTTCAAGATGGATATGCAATTTCTTTTAACTCTCCTTGATCTAAAGTAGAAACCTAAAGATTTTTTAGAGAGATTATCTCTTTGTACTAACAATAGGCTTGACTTGGTTATCTCTTTTCCTTTAATTTTACGCTCTCTACAAATTTATTTGGCTTACATGAGTAGGGATGCGCATGATTTTTAAAAATTAAAATACCGAAATGAACGAATCATGGTTGATTGGTTTATTTCGATTTATTTATTTGGTTATTGACTGTAATTTTGACTTTTTTGGTTTTTGGTTAATAGTTCACTTTTTATTTTTATAAAATCGATCAAACCAAAAATTCAATATACTAATTTTTCAAATATTAAATCAACAAATCCTCTGAACTGTAAATAAACAAGTGGCAGAAAAATAAGCATGCATATAATTTATTCTACATGCCAAAAATAAAAATTAAGCAAAGAATACTAAATATTTTTCTTAATATATATTATTTAAGCTTAAGAGCAATTAGGATTATTGTTACAGTTGATTATATTTAGATTCATACAAAATTGCACTGAGCAAACTAAAACTCAGATTGATTTAGTTTGGTATGGAAGATAAATTGCTCAGTCCATTTTTTTTAATTTTAGAATCAAAACCAGTTAGTAAGAAAAATTCATAATATGTTAGTAGTTCATACTTCAAATTTGATAAAATTTAAATATCTATAATAGCATGATTTTCAATTGATTGAATTATTTTTATGCATCCAAACTTATTCAGTTTATATTAACTAAATAGGCTTTAATCATTTGGACAGGTTTCTACAGATTTTCAGTTTTTTTATTTTTTTTTAAATAAGAGTTTGTGATACATAAAATCCTCTTTTTTATAATTTTGGGCATCTCATTATAGATTTGCATTAACATACCCTAAACCTTAGATGTCCTACATCTAATTTGATATTTAAGCTTTAGTGGATTTCAAAAACGGAGTCATTTAACAGATCAAAATAGGGGTGAGGTTGCAAAAAAATTTCAAAAAAAAATATTTTAATTATTGTATAAATAAAATCAAATAAATGGAATAGAAATAAAGTTAAACAACAAATTAAAACTTTGGAAGCAACTAATCGTCAACTTCATAAAAAGTTTTGATTTAAACCCAAACAGTTAAACAATGAATCTAAATTTTAATATGATTAAAAGATAAGAAATACATCATGGCAGATTTAATAGGAATAGCCCTTTGTGCGCGCAAGCTAGATTTTCCTTCGGTCTTGCTGTAGTTTTTTCCCTGCTCATTAAGTTGTGTTGATGCTTCAGTTTTCCCTCCTTGGTGCTTCAGTTTCCCTCTTGATGGCTATTCCAACAGTCCCTGTCTGCTGCAATTTTGAGGTGCTCCTATTGGCTGGATGTGAGATGCTTTAACTTCTTGCATTTATTGCTCTTTTTTTCTTTTTTTTCTATAAATAGGGGTTGATTTCCACTGTTTTGAGTTTGTGTGATTGATTTTTGAAATGTAACATGCGGGATTTATTCTAGCTTACGAACTAGCCTCCTTTCCCCTTTCCCTTTTCTATTTCGTCTTGATTTTCTACCTCTTCTCTATCCACGGTTCCCGCCCCATCTTTATCCTTCTTCTCTTAATATTTATAAGTTGTATGGTGTTATGTCCTAAGGAAGTATTGTTTTTATTGCTTACAAGTTAAAATTGTTAAGTGGGTCTTTTTATAATAGGATTGTTGATTTTATCTATATTTCTCCAAATTTATTTGAGCTTCATGCATTGCTCTTTGGAGTTTGAGTCCACAAGTGTTCATTTCGGGTTCGAGTTCCCTTGTATGTGATTCAAGTTCCACTCAATGTGGTTCAGTTTCAATCTAATATCCACGAGTCCCCTGTAGTCCTTGGCTCCTTGCAAGTTCAAGTATGTATTCAATTTCATTTTACTTAGGTTCAAGTATTTTATAAATTATTTTGTGTTCGAATACAAGTACAAGTCCAAGTCCAAATCCTCTATATTTTGTCCAAGTCTCTGTATTTTCAGGTGAAATTTCGGCAACCTCACGACATCTCCCCCGTTTAGAGAAAAATTTGGGAGACTAGCCTTACACTCCACGCCACATTGGCGCTTCAAGTAGATGCCTGTAGACACCGCGGCTATGTTTTCTTCAATCTCCGCTACGCTACATAAGCGTTTAAGGGTCTTCGAGCACCTGCTGAAAAGGGTGCAAACGTTTCCCTATGTATGGGTACTTAATTTTCGTCCCCCTCATGCTACATGAGCGCTCCAGGGATTACCCACCTCGTCGCAAGTGCCGCACGGGTTTCCGTCCCCCCGTGCTACATGAGCGCGTAGGGAGGTTTGACGGCTCGTCGCAAGCCAAGAGAGTGGGATTTTTGAGTTAGGAACTTATACCTTCGCTTAGAGGCGACGGCGGTGAAGATGAAAGAAATGCAAGTCTCTCTTTCTTTTTTTATTTCTCTTTTTTTTTTTGGAAAATCTCTTCTTCTTATTTTTGCTTTCTTCTTTTTTTTAATCTCTTTTTTTTTATTTCTTTCACCTCACATACACACACATACATATATATGTATATATAAAGCTTTAATAAAAACTAATAATGACTAAAACAAAATACAGTTAGTATAACTAATAATTTGTAATAAAATGCAATTAAATTATAATAACAAATAGTAATAAGTATAATATAATTTATAAAACTAATAACTAAAATAAAACAACATATAATATATACCTAATTAGCTACAGACGGTCGGGTAGGAGGCGTCAAATGGGGTTCAGCCATAAGATTTGGTCGGATGGGGCTACGGAGGCATGGAGAGTCTCTGTCTGTGGTTATGGAGGAAAGAGTGTCAGAGGCTTGCAATCAGAATTGGTAGAGTTTCGGCTTGGGAGGTTGGACAAGAGGCGGACTGATCGTTCGGGCTTCAGAGAGATCGGGAGAGGGTTGGCTTCGATCTGGAGAGAAACCATCGTCGGAGTGGAGATCGAAGTGGATCTGACGGATAGAGCTAGGTCAGATCGTGCTTCGGTTTGGAGGTTAAATGAAGTTCGGACACAATGAAGGCTCTATTAGAAGCTTTCGGTTAGGGCTCAACGATGGAAGGATGAGCGCAGCTTCAGCTTGCGAACTGGACATGCGACGAACAGAGGGATCGGCTCTGAGGGTTGTGCATGGGATATGCAGGAAAGAAGCGGAACCAGCCCCTCTCTTCACCTTCGTTTTATTGATGCCAGTGGACGCGTGATCGAGGTGAGCCCGTGGGATATCCGGGATTCTTCGACGGAACGAGGTATCTGCGCTGGATTTCTTGCAGGATTTGCGGGATCTTCTTGACATATACGAGGTAAGCCATTCTCTCTCGTTCTTTGTACAGAGGTGAACATATAGAAAATATAAATTATGAAAATTGTAAAAATCAGGTTGTATGGATAATTTACCAACTTAAGAAGTTGCGAGGTGTCAGAGTTGAGAAGGCAACATGTCACAATGATAAGAGATGTAAATTTATAATTCATGAAGCAAAATCTTTGGTCTGTTTGCATGTGCAATTGCATTGGAGATTAAGCTTAAGAATGAAATCTATTAGAATTTCCTCATATTGTTTAATGTATGTCTACAGCTTACCATTTATGTGCAAACGACCACATATAGATTTTAACAATTTAAGCTCAAAATTAAGTATCTTATAATTACAGAAATATTTCTCTAATTAATAAAATTTTGAAAAGAAAAACAATGTGTTATCTACCATCTTCTTCTTCTTTAGATACATGTATCACATTACTTATTCATTTTATATTAATGCATGAAACATTTAATTACAAATTAAATAAATTGATTAGAAATTGCTAAACCTAAGGAATGTCATGTTAGGAGATGGGTGGCAATAATATATTATCATAACTGTGCAGATGGGGGAAAAGAAATCTTAATAGAGGCATTAAGAGCTCAACGTAGTTCAATGGCGATAACATTGGATTTTACCTGGGCTCCATTAAATATCATTATGAAGCCTTAAGGGCTAACTTATGTTATGATGATAGCCAAAAAATCTAGACATCTAATCATGACACATTCATAGGCTTAAGATAAAATAAAAGGTTAAAAAGAAAATAATTACTAAATAAAATATCTATATGAATAAATTCAACATTGGTCATTTAAATCATTAAATGATATAATAATGCCTTACCTGTGACAATTTAATAAGCATTCTATTTGATGAGGATATCAGTCAGAGATTTTGACACATGTACCATCGAAGACACTGAAGATCGACGGCTACGATCAGGAGCTTATATTTTTGAGTCATTTTATGTAGTAGTTTATTTTATTTTCAGTTTTTACTGTTTTACCCTTATGGGTGGTCATTTTATGTTGTAGCCCTGAAGGGCATTTTAGTCTTTGTTTCTTTTCTTTTTGGTGAGACATATATATAAGTCATTTCTATTATATTTGAGATGATGATTATTGATATGAAAATTTCAGCTTTTGCTTATGATCTCTTTGTGAGTTCTAGAAGAGAGGAGTAGCCTAGGAGATGCTCACACGGATTACCCAACAGCCTCCTTTGTGGGAGCTCTTGGTTCTTTATTTTTTTCTCCCCCTTTTCTCTTTTCTTCTAGCCGTCCCAACCTCCCAACCCGCCTACTTGCCGCCGGCCAAAACCCCACGTCTTCCCCTCCCCTTAGCCTGCCAGATCCCCTTTCCCCTCGCCCGTCCCACTAAATCCCTCCCACCTCCCTTCCACCGGAGCCAACACCAAAGCCGCCGGCTCCATTGGAGCCCCACTCTCTCTCTCTCTCTCTCTCTCTCCACTTTGCCACCTAAGCAACAATTAATCCCCTCCTAAATTCCCTAATAGCCGCCAGCCCCATTAACCCCTTAATTTGGTTGATTTGAATTTAATTTTGGCGCCTCCTCTCTAAAGAAAATCTAAAATTCAGATTTTTTTCTTCTCACATTTTTGCCCCACCACTTGGCTCAACCCAAAGCAAACCCTAACCCGAACCGCCCCTCACCCTCCCCAAGTCATCTTCCACCATTCTCTCCCCTCACAAATCTCAAGATTATTCTTCTCCAGCCGACATCACCACTATGCATGGCCGATCCGGAAGTCGGCCATGGCTTCTTATATGATGATCAAGGACGAACCAACATTCTTGAATCTCCTTTCTTCGACGTGAACCTAGACGTGGCCGCTTCCGTGGAAGATTATTTAGATCGCATCCTTTTCACGTAGTACCTTCTTCCTCGGCGTTGGATACTCACTAGTCAACTCGTGGATTCCCCGCCGCCGGCCACCTCTCCAACGAACTACACCTTGGGCATCATTTGTCTTCTAATGGCATTGCTAAGCTTGTTCTCAATCTTCCCCCACTAAAGCACCTCCACCAAGAGTGTGAGTGAGGGACCCAAGGTGAGCAAATCTATTTGTTAAACCGTGGATTAGTGTTTCTTTGTCGTAACATTACTTCTCTATTTTATGTTGTTAAATTGTAAGCATCCTGTTAATCTAGTTGTAACTGCATGCCTTACATAATTTCTACTTGATAATTCTAAAAGCCTAATTTGGGAGAACAAGAAGTCTATAACTAGCAAAGCTTTGGTAATCAAATATTAACATCCTTAAACAGTTCTTATGTTCATTGCATGGTTTCACATCACTATTACTACTAAGTTTATGGGAGAATTTAAATGATAATTTATTTATAACTAATTTATGAATTTTAATATATGTAATATAAAGTATATTTAATTTATAAATTATGTTTGGTCGTAAATACATGCATATTGTTCACTATTTTTAACACTAGAATTTTGAATCAGAATTGTATATCTTTCTATACCTCATTGCTCGTCAGATTTTTATTTTGGTTGTTTTTACAAAAAAAAAAGCAAGGATAAAGTGGAAGCCGAGTAGAATCATGTCAAATTAAACCTTATGTTTTGTTGTATAGCCATGTAAAATAGGCCATGATTTGAGGTATAGAGGATATTTACTATGACAAATGTTTTGGGTTGTTAATTGCTTTATGTTAATACATTTATTTTATAGATGGAATATTTGGAATGCTTATACTCGTAGGTTTATGTAGTTAAATCCATCATAAGTATTATTGGAATATTTATGAATTATGAATGTAAGATAAATTCTATGTTTTTCTGTATTGGATCCCGCATCATTGGGTAGAGGGGACACATTCATTCGTCAAGCGAGATGCTTAAAATTTCCTATTTATCAATTATAATCAGATTAAGAGCATAGATAATTAAAAAAAACAAGAAAATACTTTATATGATAGATAAGGGTTTTAGTTACCAGCATTCTCGCGACTTTCCCAGTGTCTTTGCGTGAGTGAACAAAAACCATTGCTTGATGTCCTTGTTTCACTGATTCTACAACCTAGATAGAGTAATTAAAGTAAAAGAAATATGTTAATGGTCCTATAATGACTTTAGATACAATGATGATAGGCATAAGCATCAGACTGAAAATTGTATAACCTTAGCATAGCATATCTTATTGAACAGTTCATTTCTTTTAGCAAAGTCTTTTTCACTAATGCCAATGTACTGCTGGGCTAGAGGAACCGGTCGATAACTAGAATCAAAAAAGAACAATCCAGTTTCTGCATTGACCCTTAAAAACTGGGCAACCTAATAACAATTAATTTGATAAGTGAGAAGCATGGAATGAAAGGCAAAGCAAACTGTAAATACAAGATTCATGCAAATGCCAACAGAACCTCTAAATAATTAGGCAATGTTGCAGATAACCCAACAATCCTTATCATCGACTGAGTTGACTCAACCTGTCATAGTTAAGAAGAAAATGAATAGAGTTTGTAAACTTAAAGCTTCCCATAAAAAAATAAATAAATAACTAAACATTAGTTGGAGACAACTTTAACATGATATTGCATGCAAATGAAATGGAAGAAGTATCATATCATGACAAAGAGATTTTTTTGTGAGAAATCTACGTAATACACATATATTTCTGCGTAGTTAAGGCATTCAGTCATGCTCTCAACCTTTTCAGAGAGACAGAGACAGGGTGGGGGTGCGACAACGTGGTGGGGATGGGGATGGAACCAAAATAGAAAGAATATAGCTTGTTCAAGGCAATAACGGAACCAAAATAGAAGGCAAGCCTTGGACAGTGACTTCAGGTCGTTGACAACAGTTTTGTACAAGAATAATCTGCTCAGCTACATATTTTAAAACTCTTGTGGCGTTTATTATAAAATTGAAGAAGGCAAAAGAGCCGAGGCTCCCAAGGAAAACAGGATTAACAAATCAATTCAAGAAAACATGCCTGTCGAAGCGTGCGAGCAACCAAAGCTTCTATGACAGAGCCTCTATCATCATTCAGAAGGTGCACCTCATCGATGATTAAAAGCTTCACTAACATTGACATCGACATGTCGCTACTTTTTCGAGTAATCACATCCCACTTCTCAGGTGTTGTCACTATCATCTGATTTGCATAAGAAAAGAAGACTAGAAGTACATGTTACAACACAACACGGCAAACAAACAGGCAGAAAACACAAACCTGAGTTTGTTCGAGCTCATTCCTAGAAAGCTGCATGTCGCCTGTAAGTTCTTTCACAACTAGATTTAAGGGTGACAACCGTTGACTGAAAGTGGACGTCACCTCTGCTGCCAAGGCCTTTAGAGTACATGAATAGGCATTATAAACCTTCCAAGATAATAAGCAGAAAACGTACCAGTAAATGAAACTACACCTTCATTGGAGCCACATACACAATCTTAAATTCCTTGCGCAAAATGCCATCCCTGAAATGCTGCTTGATCTGCAACATAGCTTCTATTACTCCAAGATTGGATGGTAGAGAATAAACAAAATTAAGAGTATTTCAAGGATCTTTGAAGTAGAATATGGCTTGAGAAACAAAAAATAAAAATATGAAGCAATAAAAAATAACTGTTTGCTTATTGGTAAAAAAGAAGACATCAATCCAACTTGTATTCCAAATTAATACCTCATGAAGAACAGAAATCATTGCAATATTAGTCTTCCCTGCACCAGTGGGGGCACAAACCTGCAAGCATCGCAATTGAAGTTAATGTATAAATGCACTTTCAGTAAAGAATGAGGTTAGAAAGTAAAATAGAAAAAAAAAAACAAAAAAACTATCACAATCAGCTGAGAAAAGTGCATCAACAAAGGTCAAAAGTAATTACTAGAATATTCTCATTCGAGTAATAAGTTGTGTGGAATATGCGACTCTGTATGCGATTAAGGGACTTGTAACCACGAAAAGCTGCTTGAGCAAAATCATCTAGCTCACTTATCTCAATCTGAAAAGAGATGAAAACTGCAGTAAGCCGCCTGGAAGACAATTGAGAAAAAGCACGCAATTCATCTTGTTTGATCAACAGCACATTACAATAAGGTCCTCCTTGCCATATTTATTAACGAGAAACTGCAAGGTGAAAATTACTCTGGAAAATAGACTAACACCACCGACACATGAGAATAAAGCTTTAATAGCCAAGTCAAAATCAACAAAAAGAAACTTTGTTTACTGCTTTCTGCTTTAATTGTAAGAACCAAAATTGAATCAAACAAGAAATAACTCATTCCCTATGCGCATGGCTAATATCAGTATATATCAACTAAAAGATAATCAACCAAGCAATGCCTAAATTAAAAATATATATGTATGCTGTGAAGTAGATAAGAAGACGTAAAAAGCAATATGGATGTTATTCCATTAAGTAATGATTCCTCAATCTCCTTACGATAGAGACAAACACTGGTGATTGATTACATAAAGCAAAAAAAAAAACATTGCTCTCTTAATATGTACATCAACAATAAAAAAGTGTGCAAGAAATAGAAAATTTAAAATATTACAATATATGTGTTGGGAGTACTAATTTGTAGATGGAAACAGCTGTTAAGGGGAAAAAGAATCTCAAGTTTAAGAAAAAGGAAACATACCAGCTTCTCATCAGGCCTTATTGGTGCTGTTGCTGTTGGTGGAATCCTAACTTCTTCATAATTACTTCCATGAAACCTCGTTGTACCTTGTGGAAGAGCGGACACAGAAAATGAATTGGGGCCTTGACCAGTCCCTATCAAATCATCAAATGGCTGCTTCTTTTCACTAGCAATTAACAGAGATGCAAAACTGTCCGCAGGAATATCCTGCATGCCTTCTTGATCCATCCCTCGTTTGTGTCGTTTCTCCTCTTTTCGCCTTAGTTTATCCATCTGGCGCTCAGATTCTGTCTGCACGGTGACCTGTAAAGTTGTTTCAAGGATCAAATCTACAAATGCCAAAATAAATTCAGAATTTTCCTCCTTTTTTTGTGATAAAAATTTGCATTAAGAGCTGACATACTTGAGTGCCGTAACTAGGCATCCTTGCTTGGCCATTCGAAGCCATTTTCTCAGACTTGAGTATAAACAGCCCATATTGGATGGTATCCACTAGCTCCTTCCGGTGCTAAAATTAAAATTCCAGACTTGAATCAGGATGAAGAATTTCCACACTTCATTAGCATAAGAATGTCATAATAGGTTTGACAGCAATAAATACACTAATTTATGAATTATCAAAAGTAATGACAGTAAATTCTAACAGAAGAACACAAACTACGCAGCAAAACAAAATAAATATTAAAAAACAACAATCAGAAATGATCTAGGAGAAATGACTAACTTGTTCAACCAATACCCATCAACATGTAGGCTTCTATTGACCTCATTGCAAAAGAATTAACATGGACAACATACTAAACCGATCAAAGGCTTAACAAGGACTGCAACTTCATTTTATGCAGCAAGTTCAAGCAACCAGGCATTGGATGATGCAGTTAAGAGCAAAACACCAGCAACAATAACAGTCAAAGCACAAACAAGCGTGAGCCATACATGAGATTTATATTCTTACCAATAGAAGATACTGTACTACTTCAAAAGCACCATCACCAACGAGGTCCAACAGATCACCAGCAATCTAAAAATCAGAAACTCCCCACATCATAAATTTAAAAGGGAAATTCATAACAAGCAGGAAAAATGAGAGAAAATAATTTTGCATCTATGAAAGGCACGGGAAATAATTCAATGCGCATCTAAGAATACGATAGAAGCACCTCATCGCCTGCTTTGTTGGATAAAAGAAGTCGGCATAAAGCCAATGCCAGGTCATCTCCAGAAAGTGGCGAGCTTCCTTGTTTAACAATCCCTTCACAAGCATCTTTCAGCCATCTCAAACTCACAACTTCCCTCTCAGCATTCAAAGCATACTGTCCATTCATCAAGTGTTGCCCCTCATGAGGGATCACACTCACAAAACTATCAACCACCGAAGTTGCACCATTTTCCAACGGCGCGTCCACGAGGAAGCGAGCAGGGACCTTGAATGCAATATTAGAGCCAAACTCTATGGCTTCACAATGTCTATCAGCAATACCTGTCCAGGTAGATGCAATCTCAGGATCATCACCTTGCAACATGTAAAGCCTATGAGCCGATTCAGCTACTTTCTGAAGACTTGAATCCTGCACAGAGTATCCAACAAGCTTTTGCAATTCTCCCCTGCTAAAAATTATTTAGTTAGAAAAAAGCCACATCCACCAAACTTACATGGTTATCACTTGTTTTTTACTTTTCCAATAAATTACAGATATAAATTAAATTAAAAAGAGCCTCTCCAGAGGTGCTTCATGTAAGGTGAAATGCATTAAACTTTTTCTAATCAAAATTAGAATTTGTTAATGAACTTGAACAAGAGTTAAAATATAAACTTGAAACTGAGTTCGAGACTAAAACTTAAAGTCAACTAGAAACTAAGTTTGAGACTAAAATTGAACCCACGATCATATTTGGACCTCAATTGCAATTTGAATCTAAACCTTGTATTTGATTTAAATATGATCATTTAATAAAAACATAGCCTATATCTGAATGTGGAGAAATTATTACGTGCGGAGTCCGGACGTAAAGATACATCCAGACTCCAATGAGAGTGTGACACGTTGATGTTGTACACAGTGTATACAACTGTATCACACTGTGTACAGTTATATAAAACTCAACTCTACATCTAGTTGGTTGAATGTAAAAATACATAAATTATCATCAATAATGTTTCATTCATTTGGGGTACTTTTTTAAACAGATTAACTACTCATAGCAGCATATCATCTTTATGTGGTTTGTCTCTTACAATTCTCTTTATCACCTCAACAACTGCAAATATATTATAAACCTTTAAGAGTACCTCTAAGCACGCATATTTGTATGTTAATATTTTTCATTACTTTTTTCATATAATTTATATGAATTGTATGATCTACATGACCTACATGAGAATATTCACAAAAAATTAACTAATCATTATAGCAATTATAAGTTTGTTGTTGATGTGAATGAGATATGTGTAGTTCAAACTAGGAGAAAAGATAATGATATATCTAATTTGTGTAATGCTTATCATATGACCAATGGAGAAAAAAGTCAAATTGGTCCCAAGACTATTTTTATGGGGTTAATTACTCTCAGTTATCGCTTCACTACTCAAATGTGATCCTATTGGATTGTTTTTTATTAAATTTGATGAATCAATGAACTAAATTGGATGCATTATATAGCATGGGGTTAAAATGGACCCCCATAAATAATTTGAGGCCCATTTTGACATTTTCTCATGACCTGTATTAAATTAGCTACAATTAATGCATACAACATAAAATCGTATAATACACTGAAACAAATTAAATTGAAAATTCTTAAAATTTTTACTATTAGCCCAAACTTCTGTCTTTAGTTTAATTTTATTTCATGAAACTAAATGCATTGAATTCTTCTATTTATCCATCCCCACCCTACAAATTCATATCTAGTACTTTACCAAAAGTTCTATAACTCTTGTTCCAATAGCCATCTTACATACAAAAGTTGTGTCGACTACTAATAGTAGAATCGTGTGTATCTTATTATATGAGATTGCAAGCTTTATTATGTTGAATCATTGATTATTTTGAAGGAAGCGCATCAATCATATCCACATTTGCATGACCAATATAAAATACTTAACTCGTTAAAGCCAAATAATTTCAAGCCAAACAAAAAGATGCAAATTTAAAAATCCTTTGTCCATTGGAAATGCCAATCATGTGCATTAATACTATTTTAGTGCTCTCTCAAACTTAGTTTTTGCTTCTCAATTTTGTTTTGATGTAGTATGTCAATGATGATGGTACTAATTAGAACGGTAAGTGTTCTCTACCATTTTAATCACCTTGATGAGTTAGGCATAGTGTTGCAAGTTGTGCTAGTCCAACTCTCATTGGATTCCCTATCTCAAATATGTTATGATCCAAGTTAAAAAACATGGTAGGTTCTCCCTATTTTTTCTGTCCAATCATTATTCAATCTTTGATTTTGGAAGATTATCATTGATGCTCAATTCATTCCTTCATTCTTCACTATTTTGACTTTGTGGTATTGATGAAGAATGGAGGGGGGATAATAAAAAATTAAAGATCTAAAATTTCATCTCAAATTTCCATTAATTAATGTATTTGAATTTGAAATTCAAACAAGAAACAGAGGGAAGAGAGGAATTAATTATCTCCTTAATTGGGACCTTTAATTAGGAAGGAAATCATTATAATAGAAAGGAGAGAGGGGCCGGCCAAGTGAGATGGAAGGATAAGCCGTCTAAGTTCAATGAATGTGAATCAAGCATTAATTGGGATTGGGAATTAAATCTGAAATTAATTTCAGATTTGGAGGGATTGGAGGGGCTTCCTAAAATGGATTTATTAATCCGAAAAGGTTTTTAAAATTCAAATATATTTGAATTCAATTTAAAAAGCTTTCCAAATTAACAATTGACTAATTTAGGAAAGTAATCAAGAGGCTATCTAAATTTGAAATTCAAACTTGTGGATGAGGAGAGGCCGGCGGCTTCAAGGAGGGGAGGGGTTTAAGAGAGGTAAATTAATGCTTGCTTGGTTATGGTTTATGGTTGGAATCTCAATTTTGTTTTTTTTTCAAATGGGCATGAATTTAGGAACTTTCCTAAAAAAAGGATTATCATTTTATGAAACAAATTCAAAATTCAAATTTATTTGAATATGAAATTAAATTGTTCCCAAAATAAGAAAGGCTCGAATTGGAAGGTTTTGAATGCAAGATTTGAATGGGTGGAGCCAAGGGAAGAGGGAGGAGATGTGGATTTCGGTGGGGAAGGGGATCGGCGCTTAATGGAGAGCATGGGGTTGCCGGCTAGGAGGTGGTGGTGGAGTTCGGTTTAGAGAGTAGGAAGAGGGAGGAGGGAAGAGGGAAGCTTGGCCGATGGCTATGGAGGGGGTATGACCCACTAAAGTTCTCCCAAGGAACAAAAGTGCAGAACAATTTTTTTTTTTATTAAAACTCCATCATCTCAATACAATAGCAAAGACCTCTATATATAGGCCTTAAAAGAAATTAAAAGGCAACTTTGCCCATTGGGCTTACATAGGACAAGACCTTTAAGTAAGGGTAAAAATGGAAAATGCATAATTAAATCAAAAATACAATCAATAAACTAAGATAGAAATGGTGGGATCTCGGTCGTCGATCTTCGTCTCTTCCTTTGATTAACGTCCACCCTCGGATGTCCGCATCAGGTATTGAAGCTAACGTGGGAAGGTGGTTATTCTGATTATTGGGTAGACTTTGTGCAAAACATTCTTTTGCTCCTATATGGCAATTGCTCCTTGTTTCTTTCACATCTCGTAATATATTGCCTTCAACTTTCCTATTGTACAGATGTTAGCTACTATTAATTTCCTTTTATTAAAAACTTCCATAGTTGCAGGGAAAGGAATATTGTTGAGCATTTTTGGACACGTGGTTTTAAACCTGAAAACTTACTATTTTGCTGAAAGTAAGGTCAAAAACTTGTCCTTGTTGTTGACATCTAAGTTTGTTCAATTGAAGACTACGGTTTTAGGCTAAATATGAAGTATTACTACTAAATTTAGATCCTTGGGGTTATAAATAGGACCACTAAAATATATATTTGACAATGAATTAAAAAGCAAAATTTGTAGTTTCCTCTCAAATTTGTGTTGTTGGATATAAATTCTTCAAGCACATTGAAAATCTTGGTAATAACTTAGAAGGGAAAGCTTTATCCTTCAGGCTTCAACTAGTATAAGGTGTGAATCTTTTGTGACTTTTATCCTTAATTCTTTTCATATAAATATTGTGTTTGATTTTTGAAAATGTTTGAGTTTTGTCAATTGAATGCATGTTAGTTTCTATTTTGTAATGTAAATTTTAATTGTTATTAAATTTCATTTTCGTTCTCATATTTCTTAAGGAATTTCCAATTTTAACAACTCATATAATATCATTTAAAATGAATAAAAGTGTGATAAATTTCTAGCACCCCTTCAGTTGTGATAAATTGCTTCCTATTTTGCTAGTTGAATTTCTGAAAAATTTTTGGAATCCCTGTTGGATTTATGGAAAACTATTGGTGTGAGATCTTGACATATTTTGCATAACTTATTATTTTGGATCCTTGAAACCTATAAGAAAACCTCTCGTTGAATAGTGATAATTTTTCTAATATTTCAATCTCATGTGTGTACTTGTTCGATGTATGTTATTTGACTGCCGGATACGTGTTGATGATTACTTCTAGGGGGAGACTCCTTATATCGGCATGAAGCTTTGTTCTTTGCTTTGGGATGATGTTTATCCTTATTCTTACCTTTTAAACTATTTAGTCATTGGCTCTACATGGTAATTGAAATTTTGTCAAGTAAGATATGTGTTGAATTTTCTTTTTGAAACGTGAACTTAACATATTGCTGAAATTTAATGTTGACCATAGTTTTTTTAGTAAAATTTTAAATTTTGGCTATTCTTAAATTGCCTGATTGAAAGAAGAAAGTATTTTGTTGTTCCTTCATTAATAGCAATTAGATTTTACTAAAATTATGAATAAGTAACCTGCAAATTATGATTTTCTTTTTATTTCATATTAAATGTTATCCTAGTTTGCATTAGAAATCTCCCATCCTACAACAGAAATTTAGCAACAACTATAACTCATTTGCCTCAGTTCTTAATATCATTCCAAGTTTTTGATAAAAAGAAGATAATTACTTGATTTTAGAAGAGATGTACAATCAGTATAACAAAATTTTCATGCGGTTAAATAGAAAACAAAAATATCCTACTATTATATTATCTGATGACAAAAGAAGCTTTGGATTCCCGATCATTAATTATGATTAAAAACAAAACAAAACCAATATATATTTGTGGTTGAAAACTACCAAAATATTCAAAATTAATTGTAACATTCAAAAAACAAATAACACCAAGCAATCAAAAAGATAGAGCAGAAAAACCATGATTCAATGCTTGCATGCTAAACAAATATCAACAAAATCATCAATGCCACCACAAGCAGGTGTAGGTATAGCATTGGATACAATCATGCATCCACCATTCATCTAGACATTCATGCACACTTTGACACGTGTAACCTAACCAATGGTTCCATTCCAACAATTTTATTGAAAAAAAAAAAAGAACAATGGAAAAAATTTGAAGCAACTAGAGGTTATGAGAAGAGAAACATATTGATTTACTTCTTTTCAAAGATTCTCCTCTTGATGTCAATGTCAGGAACATTAAATAAACCATATATGAACATTGCAACCTCTTCAAACTCATCTGAAGAAAATTCTCCATCCATCAATTCCCGCACAGAACCAAGAAACTGCTTATAAGCTAGTCGAACATCACTTGAAACTGAATAAAAAAGTGAATATTTAAAACAAAGAAACAGTTGAAATCAAGTTTAAAGCTTTAGAATCAACAAAGAATGAAAAGAGACAAAAGAAACAAGGGCAGACATATTGGTAAATGAAAAAATGGTCATTGGCAGGCATAATAATCTCAGTAATTAAAATCTTAACATGAATGAAGCAGAATTTATAATCATATAAGATTTTTACTAGCTTCCTCCACATGAATAGCAAAAACAGTAATAATAATAATAATAAAAATAGTTCAAAATTCACATTCATGTTAAGCATGGGCAACCAATAGTGAGGCCACTGGGGGCCATGCCCCCATTGGCTCAACCCAATAACAATAAACTTATTAAATTTTAAGATTTGCAATTCACCGCCTTTACGCTCCTACATGTTCAAAATCACAAGGCTAGCAGCTACAAAGGTCCTTGCAATTATACAAAACAAAAACAAAAAAGTTCATGGTTTACTACTCGATGCAAAGGCGTTCACTAATTGATTGCAGCTTCAATTGCTAGGAGATGTATGCGGTATGCAACATAGGCTCCCTGTGACCCTTGTTGTAAATCTTCCTCTTTTTTTATATCACACTTATACTGCTAAAGTGAAACTAGTATTAATAATTTTCTTTCATCTTTTATCCATATAAAGTCTTTATGAATCGAAAGTTTTAATTTGAGTTTTAAATAGATTGTATTAAAATGTATCAATTTAAAAATCATGAAGACTATTGTACTTTGATATTGTTAGAACATCATGATTATGAAGTTTAATTTGAGTCGCATGATGGCCTAATAATATGTAGTCCACTGTCAAAAATATCATATTTTGATTTCAACTATTATTTGATATTATTCTAGCATCATATTGATTGATATATCTCCAATATTCGTATTTACCAACCAGCCATGACTTGATAAGTGAAACCTTCACAATTTTAGCGCTCCAGCTCCTCTCCCATGAGTCTCCTTCTCTTTCCCGCTCTTTACTTCTATGATGTTCTTCTTATATTCTTTAAAATATTATTTTTTATACTTGTTCTTCTTGATTATAAATGAGATCATTGTATGTTTTTCATCAACATATAATTAACATTTTTATATTAAAACTCTTAACAATTTTTTTTTAACTTTCAAAGCCGACCACAAGCCCAAATGAAAAAGGTTGAAGGCATTTTTAAAATTGCGAATATAAGACCCCACCAAAAAAAATTCCTGATTCCACCCCTATTGGTAAGCAGTTATGGAAAGAGTAATTGCCAGCCGTTCACACTGCAAGTGATTGATAATACTAGATTAAGTACAAAATCCATATTACTTCAAGGAGATTTTGTAAAGGTTTCCTTAAAAGCAGATGGAAGGAGAATTTCATGCTGCTAAATAAACATATAGACAGTTCATCTCTTAAGCCATGGAAGAAAGAATTTATTACATAACATGAACCATTGTAGTACCAACACAAATAAACAAAAATTAAGTTAAATATATATCAATGAGAAACGAGCAAAGGTCATTTCCAAAAACAATAGGTGAATGAAAGAAGCAAATGAAGCCAAACCTATTAGGGAGATTCCAGATAAGTGTGAAAACTGAGTTGCAAAATTAACAGGAATACAAGCACGGTATCACTAGAGAAAGGCATAAATAGCTATTTAGCAGACCATACGCTGTAACTTTACATTGACCGACAGGAAACAATGCATGATTTTAAACCTCTCATTTTCATGGGACCACTCACCATCGTCCCACCCGTGAACCAGCCTTCGAGCAAGTTCTAAATCATCGCGCAACCTAGTTAAAACACCGGAAAGAAGAAGAGAGATTACCATTGCTGCGTATGAAACTTCAAAACAATAAGCAAATCTCAATCAAGCCTACAAAGCCGGTGAAACTTCAGATACCTTCTTGATTTGATGTTCCGTAGGATCTCCTTGCGCTGCAGATACGCACGATCGACATCGAAGTGATCTCTTAGGGAATTAGTTAGGCGCGGCAGCTGCGTCAACATCTTTTTTGTGTCTCTTTTGACCTGTCAATCTCCGCTAAACCCTCACCTCTGCAGCCCTGCTTTTCCTTTACGAAGAATGATAAACCCTGGAATTTCGGAATGGGCAATAATTGACGGTAAAGATTGCCTTCCTCCGACTCGCTTTGTCGGCGATTTGCCTTCTTCCCTGCAAGCTCTTTAGTTTTCCCGGGAGAAAAAAATCTTCCCTGCAAGCTCTTTCGTATTCCCGGGGTAAAAAAAATATCGTTTTATAATAATTATATTGTAAGTTGTAACCCCAAATCCTTGGATTTGACTTGTGGAGCCGCTCGATTCAACTATAAGCATGTCATAGTTAAAGACTATTTTGTTACTTAATTAATACTTTGAAGTTTTCAAATGTGTTTCTATGCTTTGATTTAAGCCAATTTGGAGTGGAATTGGACCGGATTTGGTTACATTGGGTTCTTCTTTTCAAGACGTTTAATTTGATTGTAAGTTTGTTAAGATCGGAATTCGGATGATCCCAAATTTAATTGTAAAAGCTTCTAATTCAAATATGCCTCGAGACTAGTGCTTGATTAAGATGATTTTTTGCGACGTATCAAGAACTTAAAAACTTTTGGATATGCTATTGAGATGAGTGCATCATAGCAAAATAAATCTGGAGCTTCAAAAGTCATCCTAATTAATATGTTATTAAGACATATTGATATAAATGTCTTTTCATGTAATTTAAACTATTTCTATTGGTGGAGAGTAATTAATTTTTTGTAGTTTTCAATGATATTTTACAGTACAATCTAGCAAATATGAACTAACAATAAAAAAAAGACTAAAAATTTGAGAAAAAAGTGTAGAAACAAGCAAGGAATTTATTTTAAAAAATAAAGATACAAGTATAATGAATAAATTACAAGTATTTGCGGGGAAGAGTTTATGCACTGTCATTTTTGCATGGCCACACCAAAAGCTTGTTGTTACATCAATCATCATATATACCATGAAATATAACAAATTTTGAGAACAATTAGCTAATTTGGAAGAGAAAGTTGTAGCCTCTAAATGGAATGAAAACTTCTCTCACCTTAGACTAAATTGTCCAAATTGAGACAATCAACCCTTTTTTGAAAGTAAGATTGAAGCCCGTCTGTAGGGATTGTAAAACTTGGGTATCACTTATAACTCATCCTATGAATGATACTTTGATACCCTTGATAGAAAATCATTGGAGTTTGCAAGGGAGATGAGTATCATATATCTAGGACAATATCAATAATCCTTTATATCAAGAAGTACTTGAGTATGTGAAAGCGGGATTATGCACCACATATATAGGATAAGGGAGAACATCTATTAAAAGTAGGAATTGTAGCTTACAAAAAGGGAAATAGGAGGCTCAAGGGAGAACATCTATTTTTTTTTGGAATTTTTAGAGATTTTTTAAAAGTTGTTATTATTGTTATTTAAAGAAAAAAAATTTAAAAACATTTTTTCATTTTAAAATATTTGTAAAGAAAATTTTCAAATTACTTTAGAAAATAGAAGGCACCAAAAGGGAGATATAGAAAAATGGCTTATTATTAAGGGAATCAACATAGGTCATCAAATGAAATGTTTTGGGAATTTAGCAAAATTTATCAAAATGACCTGTTATAAAGTTAGGAATATAAGACACAACAAGAATTTAAGCCATTTACGGGGAAATAGTTTGTCGCAAATTTAGCTTTGTGGGGGATTTACGGCAAAATACATTTCGATGCTAAAAGTCATATCGTAAAAGTATTTGCAGCAGAAAAGTGTACGTCGAAAAATAAAAAAAAAAATTAGTAAAAATTAATTAGCATTTTGTTAATTAGCTTATCAACCCAACTGGGAAATCAGTCTAATCCGCAAACTGCTAACTTTCCTGTACGTAGTGATCAGAGCTCTAGGGCTATACTCGACAATCGATGTTAACGACTACTATCAACAATCACATTCGCTTGACCACGATCATCTAATCATTGTTTTTCAACGATTGACTCTTGGTCATATTCTCCAAACTATGATATAATGAACCAAACTTTTTTATGATAAGACCCATTAATAGCTTGTAAATGATCCTCATGAAAAATCCCTGCATGCATGAACGTCTATGTGAGAGCGTGGTGTTATGCTTATGAGCTTAGCACCTCTAGCCTTTTTGTATTATGAGTCCTAATTGTGCCAATACAACGACATCAGAGGGCGGTCTATGACGTTGTCTCCTTTGTTCAACAGTAAAATGGGTGAGTGTTGCTATGTCGTTGTGAACTCAAGCGTTGCGATGTTGGGTTTGGGTTTGGAATTTTTTTAATATAAACTAACCCACCTCAAGTGACCAAAGCCATTTCCCCTTCCTCCATTTCTTGTTGCTTGGCCAAGAAGGAGAAGAAGAGGGGGAGAGAGAGAGAGAGAGAGAGAGAGAGGAGAGAACAATCCCAGTTATGAAATTGTTCTGATTGTGGTAGTTACTCCGAATCCAATTTTATTTTCAATCATTTTTCGTTTTTGTTTTCTACCGCATCCTAGAGTTCCATTAATATGAATTACCTAACTAATGGTCCCTTTGATATGGATGAACTTGTTAGTAAAATTAATTGTTGCATTGTTTTGAAAGAAAAAAAATTAAGGATTTATTGTCACAAAACTTTATTACAACTGCTACACAAAAATAGAAAAGTTTATAAAAAATACTCATCATAGAAGTAATAAAAAATGAACAAAAAAGATATCCAAACAAACTTGTTATAAGAGTCTCTAAAATAAAGTTACAAGAGTTGTCGTGAATGGACCCTAAGTTAGTTCCAATTAAGAGAAAAAATTTTGATGAGCAAATACAAAGAAGTCTGATCAAACAAACTATAAGAGACAAATATTTATTTGTAGCTCTTATGTCTACCATGCAATGGGAGGAAAAGCTTCTCTAATAATCAATGACAAACAACAAGCTTCTTAAGCTTCTTGCTTGTGGCTTTTCCTTGCTAGAAACTCGAAGAAGCACAAAAAGAATGAAGAAGAAAATTAGAAGAGTTGCTGACTATAATTAGAACCCTCAAAATTCTAAATTCCTTTCCCTTTCTCGAACAACCTTTTATATCTACAATGCAGGGGGAGGAAAGGCTCACTATTATAATCAATAATAAAATATAATATTCTACCTTATAGCTTCTCATAGCTAGAAAGTTGAAAGAGCCCAAAAAGAAAAAAAAAATGTAATAGTTTTTTATCCGACCCGAAACGCAACCTGAAAAATTCTAGGTTTGAATCAACCCGTTTGCATTATGGGTTGGGTTCGGGTTCGAGTTTTTGACCTGTATGTAAAACCAGCCGGGTTTGAGTTGACCCAGAAATCCGAATCAACTCGTTTGACCCGGGAACTTAACCGCATCTAGTTGCGTTGCTGTCGCATCGCCATCAGGCTGTCACATCTTGTCCCATCACAGTCGCATTAGACCGCCACGCTGGCCTCTCCGGCATGCCAGCCATCTGGTGAAACCCATCACCCAATTAGTCGGGAATTGGGAGCCTCGGGCCGAGGCGGCCTCGCCGCACCACTATGTTAGCTGTCTCGCGAGAGTGAGTCCTAAGTCGGCACTCGGAGACGCTGGTCATACCGACAGGCCGCTTCGGCGTCGCCGTATCTCCTCTGAGTTTTCCCGAGTTTGGTCAGGTCAACCCGTAACCTGCGCGGGACAGATTCGGGTTAAAAATTCGGACCCGTTTGCAAAATCGGTTTGGGTTCGAGGTCGAACACGTCGACCCGTTTTGACATGCCTAAGTTTTTGGAGTACAGTTATTAGGACCCCTCAAATTTTAAATTCTTTCCCAATAATTCCTTATCCAACAAGCTTGTGTTATGCCAGTGAGGATCCTCGATCATATACTCCACATGCATGATTTGAGCTTCTGCTGGCAATATTTTTATATTAAATAGTACATTATATTGTCTACAAAGTTATAATTTCAGACTGTATCAATAATCTTCAGTCAGTAAAATCTTTAATCAGTTCAGGCAAATTTATGCTGTTCAGGCAGTGAAGAAGCATGGCTCACCAACCAAAACAAGTTAACGAAAGAGGGTAATATAAATAAAATAAAATAAAATAAACAAAACATTGCAGGTATAAACAATCACCACTTCCATGCTGCATTTCTCTATCACTTTTTCTCAGAACTACTCTCCCTTGGGACACCCAATCTTGGTTAGGCTGTCTTTTTCTTCTTTTTCCTTTCCCTGTAGTATTTATTTTTCTTTCTCTAGCAGGTGAGCTATTACAGGCACAACAACCCTCTCCAAACTTCTCCACTTATTTCTTCTACTCCCTTTTCTACCAGTTGTTCTTCAGTTATGGAAGTTATGGTGCTCTTCCTTCTCCTTCTCGCCATGCCTGGTGGTTCTGGTAAGAATTAGCTCTATAGTATGAGATTATCTGTCGTATATTTGTAGAGAATTTTCTCTCTTTTGTTGGGTGTCGCTTTGGAGAGGATAGAGATATGTATGCATTAGTTGAGTTGATAAAAAAAATTTACTTTTGTTTTCAAAATTCAAGCTATGTTAAATTTATGATTTTGCAATCAACTTTTTAATAAATATAAAAAAATCACTTTCCTCTTGGTGCTCATTTTTTCTTTATGCCTTATAAAGATAAGTTGTCATCCGTGCTTCCAAAAGTAAGATTCTTACTTTGATTTGCAGAGAAATTTTCTGATTAAAAATATAACATAATAGTTTAGGCTAGTTTAGATATGAAGTGTTTTCCTTAGTTTCATAAACTCAGTGTTAAGAGAGTAAGTTTGGTTTGGTATAGCTTTCTTCCTACTTTCTGAAGCAGCTTTTTAGTACAAAAATAAATAAATAAACTACTTTAGAAAGTCATAAAAAGCTGTCATAAACGAAGTCTAAATTAAAAGGGGATCAAAATTCAGTCGAATACATCAATGATCAAATTCATTTCAACCCAAAAATTTACTTCTATGATGAGAGTCAAAAGCTTTGTATTTATAACCAACATTTCAACTATATGATGTGAAACAAATGTTAAGACTAATGTGTTTTAACAGTCAAATATATCTGATGTATCTAAATGCAAGATATATTGAATCTGATCCAACCTATCTTCACCTATGGACTGGCTTTGCTGATAATTGACAAGGAAGCAATGCCTCTCAAGTGTTAAACCTTAGGTGGGTTAAGTGAGTAGAGTTAAGCTTACAGTTTCATTTGGCACAGCTTTCTTATTGCTTCATAAAACAACTTTTTAGTACAAAATTAAGATTTTTGTACTAGAAAGCTACTTCAAGAAAAAGTAAAAAAGCAATTCCAAATAAAGCCGAAGTTTGAAATTTTAAGTGAAAGACTAAAAGCATCCAACCAACCAGCCAAATGATTGAATCTAATAAACTCAACACTTAACAAAATATAATTTTCTAATTTCAAGTAACCAAATAAACCACAAATTTCTTCACATTTCCACAAATCACTCTCGAACAAATCATTCTCAACCCATTTTTTGTTCTTCTTCATGCAAGGCGCAGCTTGGTGTACCTGTAGACCTGATGCCAGCGACCCAGCTCTACAAAAGACTATAGACTATGCTTGTGGAGCTGGAGCTGACTGTAATCCCATTCTACAAAATGGTCTCTGTTATAACCCCAATACTGTTCTTGCTCACTGCTCTTATGCCGCTAATAGTTACTATCAGAGGAACAATCAGGTTCAGGGAGCTTGTGACTTTACAGGCACTGCTACTGTTACACCAACAGATCCTAGTGAGGCTCATACTCAATGCTTGTTTTGATCTATCTAATACTTAGAATGATAATTTGATTTTATATATCATTTGCAGGCAGTAATGGCTGTATTTATCCTGCAACCTCAAGGTGTAGTATTGCAACATTTATTTTTGCTGATGTTTCATCTCTGATGATTTATTTTATTAAAATGTGACAAAATGGCTTTTCTTTTGTCTCTAAAAATAGAATTTTGGATGACTCAAAAACTTTTCCAAATAATGAGAAAATTATGTAGTGAATGTATCTTCTCACAGGTATTCAAAAGGGTGATTTGATATTGTTGATAATTAAATTCAATTATAGTTTTTAATCTCATAATTAAATTAACTATTTGTTTAGTTCATTACAATATTTAATTAAAGATGTATAAAATTAGTTATGTATAATGATAACTTTTATATCAGTTTGCACAACAACCATAACATGATTTTATGAAATAATATTATAAGACAATAATGCCAAATAGAATTTTAATAATAATTATAAAATTTTTTTAATTTCCATTTTATTCTCTCTCTCTCTCTAGTGCTGCAGGGACAAGCAGTGCTTCTGGAACAGCAACCTCCACTCAGAACCCAGCCTCATCCTCTACTCCAAACAGCTTAAATCCAACCCAAACTGGAACAGGAGTCTTGGGAGGTCTTGGTCCTTCAGGAATCAGCACAAATATAGATGGCAGTGCTGCTGCTGGTTTCCTCTCAAGTCCAATTGTCCCTCCTCTCTTACTCACAATATTGTTATTATTTGGCTTGGTTTTTCCTCAAAGGAGCTGACTGAAATAGAAGATAAAATTTTGTTTAAGATATATTTGAAAATTATTAGAATTATTTTGAGATTTATGTAAAACAAATTCTCCATTGTGACCAAAACTATATTAGGATATCCCTGCACTTTATTTTTTTCAAATAATATTGTTTTTTTTTTATGTTTCATTTGTTTGGTTTCATCTAAAGAATACTTTTCTTGTCAACTTCTCCCCAAGCAATGATATCAACCATATTGATCCCCCTTTACCATCTTAGTTGAAGCGTAAGTTGGGATGCAACTCATCTTAATTTGTTGGTTGGGAGCTTTGGCTACCAATCAAAATGTCTTATGTTCTAGCTTGCGTATGTGATGTGTGTGAGTTTACCTTTTTTTTTTGGATAAAACCCATAGAGAGGCTTACACGTTAATACCCTTGAAGGGTTCAAATGCTCGCTAATGCTGGGAGAGCTACATTCAAAAAATGAAAAAGAAATATCTATAGAGCCAATGAACCCATTAGTTACATTAAAATGAAAAAAAGAATATTGCAATGGGATGCCAGAGGCCACCACCCAAAAAAGATCCATCTTGAAGCGTTGATGAGGTGCAAACTGGAAATATTGATGGATCTACAACAAATTTTACAATAAGATAGGAAGATTGAAACCAAGTTAAAGACATAAATTGAAATTTTGAATTTTTTTTTTTTTTTTGGAGAACCCACAACAATGTCTATGCGTTAATCATGATAAAAAGTACATGTTCTTAGAGGATCAGAAGTTCATTAAAAGAACAACATGTTAAATAAAACTTAAGAGCTTTAGATCCTATCTAATATAGGAAAAAAAAGGCAACAACAAAAAGGCTAAAGATAAAAAATAAAAAAAAGAAGGAAACTACAAGTGCATCAATGCCAACAACCATAACAGCACCCAAATGAATGGCCAAATGATCCAAAGAGCAACATCCCAACAAAAAATCTCCACCAAGTGCAACCCAAGCTCCCCGAAAACAACTTCAAGTAGAGGAAAGAAACAATCTAGCAGTCACCATCAAAACCAGAGCAAAAGTGACATCAAAATCCGAAGTCTAGAGATCCAAAAAAGTGGCACCACATCAGCAACAACAAGGCTATAAAGCAGCAACCACAAAGGCAAACACAAAAAAGCTATTTTTTGGATTTCCTCTTTCTTCGTTTACCCACCCGAAAGATAATATCTCGCATACCACCATCTTGTTTAAACAATTCATCTTCATCAACATCAAAAGGAGAACATAAAGAGCCTTAAAGTCAATCAATTTGAGCCTTAACATTTTCTCTGATCTGACGCCCAGATGGGCATACAAGACGCTAGTAGAAAGTAAAGCAACTAGAACATCAACAAGCTGCTCATTCACTCCCAATCCTCCCACAGAGGAAGTCGACACAAGCAGAACAGTTGACGTCACAAGAGAAGCAACAGAATGATCCAACTCATTAGAATCAATGTTCACCACCCCCATATTCACAACACAAAGTTCATTATCACCCACATTCGTCAATTTATTACCAAAAATACCTTGAGCCAAATAAAAGTTATTTGAAGAAGGGTCAACAACTATAACACCATGAGAAACATTACATTCATGTGGGGATCTGTCAGCCCCATCAAACAAAGGCACGACCTCCACCGCAACATCATTAAGAGCTAAATCATTGCAAAAAACCTCAACCTCAACAGACGAATCCAAAGTACCCAAAGGGCAAAAAACATCATGCCTCAAAGGAATAGATTAACAAACCACAACAGCATCCTCACCACCATCATCATTAGAATTAGGGGCCGGAGTAGATCGGTCTAAAACCATATTGCCACCCTCTCCATTGTTAGAAGGCAAAGCCAAAGGCGAGTTAACACTGGATGGAACAACGCCCCCCATAGTGATCCCACCAACATTTTCACTAACCATCACAGCCTTAATAGGCAAAATAAGAATTAGAGAACAGACCATATTAAAATTTTTTGAGGAATCAACATCATTCTTATCAGGAAAAACATTAACATTCACAGAAATTAAAACATCAGAAGTATTCAAATCCTTCGCAATACACGTATCCTCTGGGAGCAGAACCAGAAGCATTTCCAACAGTAGTATGTTGCTTAAAAACAGGGACAGAGGACTTACTGCAATCCCCCCAAACATGCATGTCCAATACAATTACAACTAGTACAAAAAGGAGGAAATTCCTCCATATCAACAAGCTGAATATACCATAATTTTGAGGTTCGAGCCAAACTTTGTCCGGATATTTTTTTTTATGATGTCAAGCTCTACCGAAATCCGTGCGACAAACGACCGAGATCCAATGGAGGTGGCATTTTCAACCTTTAAAGGACGCCTAAATAATGAACCAATGACGTCTAGGATAGAGGAGAGAATAGGTGAGGTCTTAAATTAGGGAATGAGATTCAAATGGGAATAACTGGCGATTCAACACCAATATCAACTAAGGGCGACCATTTGGTTAACCACATAGCAATTGTTGACAAAATAAGATCTATGAGCAAACATTTGCTATAGTCCAAATCATTCATCAGCTTAATCAAAATATGTGACGGGATGAGCAAAGTTACGAAAAAATCGGCATTAAGCTTAAGGTTGAAGAAAATTTTCGGATAGAATCAAGGCTAGGGCGATGGCTAGGAAAAAAAACCAACCAAAGCAAATTGCAAAGGAGCTGCTAATGCTAGTATTTCTGCTTCTGAGATCCATAGAGAGGGTATACCACAAAATTAAGATGTTTTAAGCATAGGAAAACGCACATCCAAGGAGGAACCAGATAAAACATCTAAAAATATCTTGATTTTAAATAACCACCCACAAACATTGGGTCAAAATGTGATTTTCGCTATCCGACTAGGAATGGCCGGAGGAGTGGTAGAGAGCCAAACGAAAAAAGAGCAACAAAACTGAAGTAGCAATGCAAGTAAAAAGACTTCCCTATACCAGCAAACACGACGACTGGAGAAACAACGACCTAGCGGACGGGCAGTCATGGGAGAGGAAGTCGCAGAAGCTGTAAGCAACGGAACTACCCAGAAACATCGTTGCTATAGCCGCCTCAACAAAGCTCCATGAACTCTCCCTTGCCGGCGATGGCAATGTTCTTTGGTAGGGGTGTCAATTTCGGGTCACGGGTCGGGTTCGGGTTGGACCCGGAACTGACCAGGGTTCAAATGGGTTGACCCTAACCCGACCCGGTTAGGTAAACGGGTAGGAAATGTGAACCCGGACCCCCGACGGGTTGCCGGGTTGACCCAACCCAAGCGGCATGGTCGCGGGGTAGCGCGGCAGCGAGGGGTGTCAATTTCGGGTCACGGGTCGGGTTCGGGTTGGACCCGGAACTGACCCGGGTTCAAACGGGTCGACCCTAACCCGACCCGGTTAGGTAAACGGGTAGGAAATGTGAACCCGGACCCGACCCGGCGGGTTGCCGGGTTGACCCAACCCGGGAAAGGCATGGTCGCGCGGTAGCGGCGTGGTCGCAGGGTCGCGCGGCAGCTGCGTGGTTGCGGGGTCGAGCATCAGCGGCGTAGTCGCGCGGCAGCAGCGGGGCGCCGAGGCAGGGTCGCTTCGCGGGGCAAGTGCGCAGGGGTTCGCTGTTCGGGGGGTGGCGCGGTTCGTGGGGTCGCGTCGCGGGGTCGAGTGCTCGGGGTCGCGTCGCGGGGTGAGTGCGCAGAGGTTCGCCGTTCGCGGGTTCTCGCCGAATTCGACCCGTTTTTCAAACATGGCTCGTTCATTTTGATTTGAACAAAAAAATTATATTATTTCAGGTCGACCCGTTTTGAAATGGATTTTTCAGGTCGGGTCCGGGTCGGATTCTCGTGTCGTGTCAAATTTTGACACCCCTATTCTTTGGTTGCAATAGTTGATTGATAGAGAGAGAGAGAGTCCGCCGAGAAATCAGAAATGTCTCTCCGGCCCCATCCATGCGACCATGCCATTCGGCAACAACGGAGGCAACGTTTCATGCCTCCTGAAAATAGTGCGATTATCACAAGCAGAAGACCGCTTTCGCTCGCCTTAAATTGAAATTTTGATGGTCCAATTAGGAAGCCAAATGAGAGGATTATCTATGTAGGTAAAAAAGATCCAAGACAAGAAGTGAGCAGAACAATATAGTTGCAGATATAGAAGATCAATTGCCTTAATTGTCTTAAATGTCCTTGTAATGGGTGTATCACATGGTGCATAATATTTTATACCAAATTTGTTAATCACTTTATCAATATAAGCTGTTTGTGATAACCCAATTATAACACATATTACTTCAATTTAATTTAATTTTGAATTAATGAATAATTATTTCTAATGAGAAAAAAATTAATTGATAAATATTAATGAATAAATTTATTCATTTATTCATCAAAATAAAGATCACATTTTGCTTTATCCAATTCAATGAGCAAAACAAGGAAGTACACATAACATATAAATTATTTTATACTCTCACTTTATATAGAAATAAGCCAATAAATATTGCATTGACTATAAAAGGCTAAAACCTTCAATCATAAGTAACTGAAGCATTATTCAATTAATTTTAAGCCTAAATGCTATCTTGCTTAGCATAACTTTCACATACATATGACAAATTCATTGTTGATTTTGAGCTCTATTTGTTTTATTTCAATGTTACTATTACTATTCAATATCATGCATACATAACAATATTATCTAACAAATATTTAGTCAAATGAACTTGTTTTATAGTCGATGTTAAGATATGTTAGTTAAAGAAAGCTTGGATTACAATGGTTTTTTATTGAATTTAGAAACTGTGTCAATGCAAATGCATCCATATATATATGGACAAATATGAAGAGATATAAATATATATATATATATATATATATATATATATATATAATAAACATAATATATTCAATTTATTATAACAGTTATAATTATAAATTTTATAATTAATATTAGATAAATGCGATAATAGTGATATGACAGAACCTTTTTTCATAAATGTAATAATGTGATAATATTGATATGTAATTGTAACTCATGTGCTAGATATTTTTATTTCATGAATTATCTGATCTTCATTAGCAAATTAAATCACATCTCTCTGCAAATTGCAATAACTACATATTAT